GTTTTGTTCATGTTTCATGAATGAAGCTCGATGTTCCCTGATAGCACATGTTGCATTGACTAAAATATTTGAGAAAATGTTCCGGTTGGATGCTAGAAGAATTACTAAGAATTAGTGTTACTAATTACTAATTGCCATGGCACTTTTTATGATGTTTGTACACAATAGATATGTTTCCATCCAAAGTTGTGAATTTAACCTGTGCGCAAAATTGGAATATGGCACAAAACATTTGCGATTAAAGCATGTTCAAGAGAACAAAATCGTCACTTCCTGGGCAATTGGCGCAAAATATCTGTAATAAAAATGGAAGCTCTAATTGTCCCCAAGCCACTGTGCCTCTTTTGTCCTACATCATAAATGACTTGCGTATCAGATTGCGCAGGCGAAACGCAACAAACAGCGCCATGTCGTCTTGCGTTCGGATGGTTATCTTGCCTGGTGTTTGGGAATGCACTCGTGTGAGAAGCTTCTGGGAGGGCATTATGCTAATCATTCTGATGACAGACTTTGGCTCAGGCATTTCAGGATGATCCAACCAACATTTGAGATGCTGTCCAATGAAATTGTTTCACCGGGTTAGTCCAGTTATCCAATTACACACAATTTTCCAAAATGCACATAAAACAGGTGGATGTAAACATAGCTAATGACATTTAATCAAACACAATGGCCCGGTTTCACAGACGGGGCTTAGACTAAGTAAGGATTAGGCCTTGTTCAATTAGGACATTCTGTAGTAGCTTTCATAAACGTGCCTTAGAAAAAAACATTACTGGTGTTCATCTTGAGACAAAACAATGTCACTGACATATTTTAAGATGTCAGTGCAAGTCTCTTTCAGTTAAACCTGCTCAAACATGCAGTGTAGTCTGGGACTAGCTTAAGCCTTGTCTGTGAAACTGGGGGAATGTTCTCCAGATGTTGCAAGGTTATCGTATGCATGCATACTGGGTTGGACAGAATCATTGCATTAGTCCTGTTTTTGCATGCCACATACGATGATGACAGTTTTTTTTAACAGAGTCTGTCATTTCTCTCTGTGAATGAGGACACCATGTTCCCCTCCGCTTACTAATTGCCATGAGGCCAGTGAGGGTCTCATTCAGATGCATTGATGTTTGCCCAAATGATAGCAAACAGAGGCGGCCTATCCTCTCTGCCAGCCAAACGCACACAGAGCCCTTTGTTAGACAAGAGGACCTGATAATCGCACATCTCTTTGCTTCTCTCTATTTCTCTCATTCTTTTATTTTTATTACACATAACATTATACATAAAGATACAAATGGGGAGTTTTGCAGTGATGCTATTGAAGAATCATTTTTGGTTCCTCAAAGAACCTTTCATTGATCAATACTTACCGTTTTGTTTTCTTAGTGTGAAGAACATTTCAATAAATTAAAGAACCTTTTTTTCACTATAACAAATTTTCCCGGAATGGAAAGATTCCATTCAACTGTTAAATGTTCTTTATGGAACCATAAATGCCAGGAAATAACTTTTTTATCTTTTATGCTTTTTTTTTTTGTTTAAAGCTGCAAGTCTGTAACTTTTTTGGGTTAAAAATGTATCCCAAATAAATGTGTGAGCAAGTACATAACCAGCCAGTGTTCAACACTCTCTGCTTGCCGTAGCTCGATTCTAAACGGTAAGCTTGTAATAATGTTTTTAATTCCAGTGGTACTGGTGGATTTCCGCGTGAGATTCGAGCATGTCTTTGCGTCATTACGTCACATCTGTCCACATAAAGAAGGAGTCTCGATTAGTATAAGCAATATTGCTTATGGTGGAGGTGGAGATTTATAGCCTTTTCTCACAGCACTTGATGTAATTAAACTTAGCAATTTGAATGCGGATCCAGAAAGGTTCAAACGACAATCTCCAGTTACAACTAGAGATTCACCCGTTGTATAATGCAAAAGACTTTGGACTTCGGAGTGGCTACAGAAAAAAAAGAGACTTCAACCGGCCCATGCGAAAACAAGGATAATATCGGAAGGGCTTTTGAAAGATGGCGTGAACACTGTGTTTTGAAGGGGTTAAAGGGGAAGAGATGGCTTTTTTTCCGTGCATCGAATATTGAATAATGCAATAAATATGCAGCTGATTACAGATACGCATGTTTGTATTTCAAAGAGAACCAGTTCTAAGGAACATTAATTAGTTGGTATGATAATTAGAAATTAGACTGCACAGAAATGGAAACTGAACTACAGGTAGCCCTAATACACATTAAATGTAATCACGCAATGCTGCTAATGTTGTTAACATTAAAAATTTGAGAACAAAGTATAATTTGCACGGTTTGACGTGATATGATAAGCGATCGTTAGATTTAATCAGCGTGATTTACCGCAATGCTTTTTTTCCCTTAGTTGGTCAGAACAAAAGTGGATGTTACTTGTTCAGATGACAAATTCTTATGTCTATTCTTATACTTCCAAAAAAAAATCTGTGATTCTGAATGCCAGTATCCACACCGGCGTGGTGATCGACAGCCGCACATTCTCCTCAAAACATTGGATTCATCCGCGATGTGCCGTGCCGAGGCACAACCCACGTAAAGTTGATAATTCCACGAATAACTGCAATTGCAGATTTCAAACAGAGATGGCGACAGAGGAAAAACTACGGATTGCAGCTTTAATCTATCTAATGTCCCTGAGGTATGGCGAGTTATGCATACTAATCCCAAATCCCAACTTTGAGCAATAGTAATATTAATGCTTGCAAACAATAGAAATATTGTAAACAGGTCATTAACAACAGCTGCTTTATAATCAGTAAAGTACTTATTTAATTACATGTTACTCTGTTGTTATATTAAGTAATTGTTCATCGTATCTTTTGCTACCTGATATTATTCTCAACTTTTAAGTTAAGCCTCACCAAAGGAACAAGCTCCAAAACACTGTTTATGAGTCTCTCCAATTCTCCAATTACACTGTTTTACCCTCTTTGGGTTTGTGAATAAACAATTCATTTGTTATTCTTGAAGTCTCGTAAGTATCAATTATTTTTCTCGATTAGGCATTAGTAAGTATTGTAGTAATATGGTAGAGTTGGTATAACGGTATATCCCATGAGCTGTAAGTACTGTAGCAGGGCTCGGGGGACGCTGTGTTACTGTCTCTTGGGTCTCTGCTCTGGGTTTAGGTCTCTTACACTGTTTAGGTGTGCTGTTCTGTTCCTCTTTTCCTAAGACCTTTTTTTTTCTTTGTACAAAGTACAGTGGACAATAAATTCAGTGCAGTCATTACACTATAGGAGGTCAAAGGTAACAAAAGTCAATTATTAATCCAGATGAGGACAGGAAATGCAACTGTTCATACAAGATATATATATATGTATGTGTGTAATATTTAATAAAAAAATTACATATATATATATATATATATATATATTAGTATTTATTTTATTTTAATTAATATTTATTTTTAATATTTTTGATTGATTGATCACTACCTCAATAAAATTAAGATGTTATTTGAAGTTTTTCAGATTTGTTTTAACCCTTATTTAAGAAATTACACATTTCCAATTAAATGGATTTTTGTTGTCAGTTGTCAAACTTTTTAAATACAATTTTATATTATGTTATATTTTATTATTTTATTTTAAATAAAAAAAAATTTAATCACTTTTTGCGTGTGGTTTGAATATATAAAATATATAATAGGTTAAAAAGTCAAATTTGTTCAGATGCTTGTTAAAAGATGAGAGTGTGAGTTAGTAATTGGAGTGTGGGACTGTGCAGTAAATCAGTGTGTTTGGTAGAGGTAGCTGTGTTTGAATGATTCAGCAGATGGCTGAGGAGACGCGTTTCACACGCCGCTGTAGGGGCTTCTGACGACACGACTGTGCAGATGCTGCGTCTCCATTTACAACTCCTACTGAATTAAAACATGTTAAAAGAAAATGAAATGGAGAAGGTTTTTTGTGTGCTTTCTGGCTTTTTCCATACACAAAAAAAATGCTGTGGCTGAACCCTAATGCAGACATTAATGCTATGGTATTTTGATGGATACTAAATGTTGAAACATCCCTAACGTTAAAAATGACAAATACTAGCGATACTTCTTGTAGCATGCATGATAAACTAAAATGATTCTGTGTCTGTGCATTTGGCAGAACTCTGGCAGATTTTGATTTCTACCATCTAATATGATCGGATTAAAAACTTTACACTTCACTGAAAGCCTTTTGATATAGTTGTTCATCTCCCCTCAGAATAACTCAGAATGATTAGGTATCATATCTTTCCACTCAAAATAATTGAATGACCTCTCTACGTCTTCCACTCAAAGCTGGACTGGAAGAGGTTTTTGTTCTCTCAGCGTTTTGTCCAGAGCTGTGCTTTTATGATTTAGACTCATTACTTTATGCAGGAATAATCCAAACTGTTCCCAGACCTTTTTCTGTATACATCTGTGAACTTGTGAGCTGCCTCTAAGAACATCAGGCTTTCATGCATTGGAAATAACAACAAGCGGAGCGCCACGGCCAGGCTACGTCAACAAGAAGCCGAGTTTTGACAGTAGATGTTTTGGCGCAGCTTCAGTGAGCAGTATTAGGCTAAAATCATCTCCGGGAGTGAAGGAAGTGCACAATCCCTCAGAATAAGCAGACACACAGCCTCGGCCCTTCAGATATGATGCATCATGCACAGAATATTTGAGAACGTGCTCTATTCTGAATCTGTACTCATGGCCAGCCGTCGGGCAGAGACCCTGTATGTCATGAATGTACTATAAAGCATATAAAAGTCCCTGAAATGTAAACAATAAGGTATGAACGGCTGAGATGATGATGTAACCCCTGATGTAAAACAGGACTCTGCTTTTCAGTGAAATTGACAAAATGCAGTTGGAGCTGCGCAGTTTTATTGAACTTGATGCTTTCCGGTTTTGAATTGATTTTTTCACCTTTGAGTTTTTATTTGTTTGACTGCTTGCTCTGCATTCATTGTCATTCAAACTGTTTTCTTCTCTCTTCAGGTGCAGGTGAATCAGGGAAGAGCACCATTGTGAAACAGATGAAGTAAGTAGAAAAAGGGTTCCTGTCTCTTTAGTGTTTTTTATTTATTTATTTATTTATTTTTTCATCCAGTCCCATTTACTGTGTGCATACGGTAGGGCTGCACGATATAAAAAAATAAAATAAAAAAACTGACATTACGTTATTTTGTTTTTCTTTTGATAGCGTAGAGCTGCATGATCAATCGTTAAAAGAACGCAATCTCGATTCAAACACCCGCGCGAACTTATTGCTAAATAAAAAAAACCAAACAATTTGGCTCTGTCTATTAAACCTTTGACAAGTACGATCACAGCGAACAGTCAAATCTGTGTTTAATAATAATAACCCTGTCTCAGAGTGGCTCGATTCACAGTAAGTGAACAAAGCAGCTCACAGCTGTGTATCGATCAATGCGATATGGTGCTATAACTTAAACCTATTGCCTCAAGCTCCATTTACAAAATTGGCATGCCAAGTTGCCCTCTTTTCCCCAGTCATGACCACATCCATATTCTCTTTCGCTTCCTCCTCTTTTTTTCAACGCACATAAAAACCACAATTGCCAAAGTGAATACGTAAAATGAATCTAGCTCTATTTGTTTACCACTAGCGCATGCTGATGACGTTTTATTCTTCTATACTAACTTGAGTCGTAGCTTACGATTCAATACAGGTGTCATCTTCGTAAAGTCTACATGCATGTCCATGTACCTGTAACGATCTTAAAGTCCTCACTCGGGAGCGTCGCGCTGCTTTAAGTCTGATAAATCGCACACATTGACAGTAAATGAGCTCATTGCAGCTGCTGACAGACAAGTGCGTGCACACTATTTATATTCAGTAATAAAGCCATGCTTCATCTGTCACACATTTATTTGCAGCAACAGCACTTTGAACAAATGACATCATGGAGTGCTAACGTAGGTGTTTGCAGAAACCGGCTCTAGCTGCTGTTACGAGTTTCATTTCCGTGATGGAGTCACATTTCTACACGAGCGAAACCACCTTACAGACCCTGTGATGTAGTGCTGGTTCCTTTTCTTGAAACGTCCTCATCCTGTTCATGATTAATAGACACCATCCATCTCCTCGTGATACCAAATTGTTGCACTACTTTCTATGTGCGGCTCTGCTCTGGGCAGTCGTGTCTCCATAATAATCCTCAGTCTGCAAGCGTGTCTGGATTCACGCTTCATAAACACCTTTTGCATACTTTAGCATAGTATATTTAACATTTTTAATACAAATACTGAATACTATTTTCAATATCTGGCAATATTTAAAGGCACTAATCCTAATCTGGCATACTATTTATTATATGAGAATATAGTATGAGGATTAGCGATTGGCTGGTTTCTCTTGGCATCTATACAATAACAGTAACTGTGCATTTATATCGATTTTTCAGAATAATAATAAAACCGCTAACAGTTTAACTGGTTTTGAAAAGGTTGGGTTAATTTATACCTGTGTTTTTATGCTTTATTCAGTCACATACTGCATGTACACTAAAATTTTGATCAAAAATACAGTAAAAAAATGTTTTTTAAATAAATACAATTTTAAATAACATGATCCTTCCGAAATCATTCTAATATGCTGATTTGCTGCACAAGAAACATTTTTTTTATTATCAATGTTGAAAACAGTTGTGCTGCTTCATATTTTTGTTAAAACCATCATGCATTTTTTTTCAGTATTCTTCATTGAATCATACGTTAAAAAGAACATGTATATATTTTTTAAGATAGAAATAACAGTTCACTGTTTTGTAAGATAAATGTACGTTTTATGTATTGAGATGTTTGGGTTGGAGCATCATTGAACATCTTTGCAAGCTCTGATGAAAGGTGTGCTATAAATGTATTTTATTGGGCTCTAAATATCTTTGTGTAAGTAAATCTATTTCTCATGAGGACAGCAACACACAGTTTCACACTCAGATCATTAATACAGGTTTAAGCAGAAACAGTGTTACAATGACAGTAACTGTTACCAGCACCAGACGGGGTGTTTAAAACACGGGGAATTCTGCTAGTTTATAACCCAGAGTAACAGTCCTGAAGCTGTCATGTGTCCCACATTTCTTCTATTCAGTTACCAAGTAAGTGTAAGAACATTTAGCTTTATTTTATCAAACCTTTTAAGATCCATTAGCCTGAGCTTCCTCCATTCTGAGCTGCAGAAAGAAAGGAAAAATTGTTTAATATATTTCTAATGTTTTCCTTACTGACAATTTCATTTTTTTTAAGTCAAGTCAAGTACAATGTAATGATTTAATAAAGGTGTGATCTCAAACATCATGTGAATAAAGCCCCACTGGACTATTTTATATCAGCTGACTCTTGAACAGAGAGAAGACGTGAAGATCTGCTGACGTCAGTGAATCTGGAGTTCCTAAATGATGCAGGTTCAGATCCACCGCTGAAAACTGACTTGTGTGACCCAGAGAGACACCAATACACATTCTGGGCTAAAATGGTGGCTGATAATTAGTTTTATGGCTGATATAACTGATATGATGGCTGATATATTATCATGGCCACAATAAATGTAATAATTTTAGTTGGTAAAAAAACTGTACATTTTAAATTTGGAAAATTAAGGTCTAATATTATATGCTTCCAATATTTGCCTGATTGGAGTGTTTGATGCAATTAGACCAATTAAACTATATGATTCCTGAAAGCTTTGTAATAAATGTAATGCAGGTTTAAAATGTGGATTATAACTTGTTGTATCTTAATATGATCAAATATTATTACAAATATATATATATATTGTTTAAATTTTTTATGAATTCAATATTTATTTTATTTTACTGAGCATTCCCAGATATCTTTTATTTTATTTAGCATTCTCTGCTTACATTTTTTTTTTAATTGTTACATTTCACCCTCTGTTTAGAATCATCCATGAAGATGGCTACTCAGAAGACGAGTGTAAGCAGTACAGAGCCGTGGTCTACAGCAACACCATCCAGTCCATAATGGCCATTATTAAAGCCATGAGCAACCTCAAGATCGACTACGGAGAGGCGGCCCGAGTGGTAAGAGCTCCTGCACACCTGTGAGAATGTCTGGGACTGCCATGTAGGTCATGCTTAGATTCAGTAAATAATTCAGAGAGTCCCGTACCCTGTCACAACTTCACATTTCTGATGTACAGGTTTAATGTTTTGCGCACAATGTCAAATCCATCAGGCGGAGCGAGTTGTTATTTTGTGCACAGATGAATCATTCACAATAAAAGCAGGAAATATGAGCAGTTTTGTGTTTATTTTAATCTGAACTATTGCCATTACAAATATTCCATTGTAATATGTTTGGAGCGACAGTAATTGTGCAGTAAACCGTGCTCAAGGTGTTGTAATCGCTCGCTCCCTCAGCACGTGTGTGTGTGTTTGTGCAGGATGACGCACGGCAGCTGTTTGCTCTGTCTGCAGCAGCGGAGGAGCAGGGAATCTTAACTGACGACCTGGCCAATGTGATCCGCAGACTGTGGGCCGACAGCGGGGTGCAGGGCTGCTTCACCCGCTCCAGAGAATACCAGCTCAACGACTCGGCTGCTTAGTGAGTGTCTGCGCTTACTGTACATCTGACACACTCATACACGGGCTCCACCTGCAAATGAGTCCAATTAATCTATAATGAATATGTTTCAGCATAGCATATCACAAAATCAAGGCATGGAAATGAATTGGTGTAAAGGTGTGGGAACCCTAATTGCAGCATTATCAAATCTGATTGGGTGAGATGTTAACAGCTGGTGACTGCTTATAAATTGAATTCCAAATTAGTTCATATACACTCATAACAGGCTAAAATTAGAATTACTTTTTTTTTTTTTTTGCTCATCAATTTTTTTTGGTTGCATCACCATGGCTGCATCAAAAATCCAGTGAAAACCATAATATTGTGAAATATTATTACATTTTTCTATTGTAATTTAATATAATATAATGTGTTTTATTCCTGAGATTATTGAATACATTTTTGAATGGTTGTGTATATTGTCAGTTTAGACATAATGGGTTGTGCATCTCAAAGCACTCGTTGGTGTCTTTTATCATTTTGTATATGGTTTATGAATGCAGCAAGCCACCCGAGGCTGTGTGTTACAGTCATTTGGCAACCGTTAAATCCTCCCACTTCATGTTGTGCCCCAACACCTCTTAACCTGTGTAAAATCACTGCAGCGCACAGCCTCAAGTGACTTGTTGTTTAATTATATTTCATCCATGTACTTCAGAGCTGCATAAACACAAACACTTGAGTAACAGAATTGTGCCAGGTGTGGCAGTAGAATATTAAATTATTACATATCTCCTCGAAACAGAACGTGACTTTAATGGTTTTTTAGCGCACACACACACACTGATGCATGATGGGAGCCAGGTTCAAGAAGGAAACTCATTGCCAACTCCATCTGTTGTTGTTAGCAGAAACATGTCCTGCCTTTAATGAGGTCATGATCAGGGCTTGACATTAACTTTTTGAGGCACTTGTCCTTCGGACAAGTAAATTTATGTTTCTCTTGTCCATGCACAAAAGTCACTTGTCCGGGTAAAGATTTATAATTTTATCTAGGGCTGCACGATTTGGGGAAAATGTCATATTGCAATTATTGAGTTCAATATTGCGGTTGTGATATGCGATTGCGATATAATAAACAAATGGTTTCATGAGTCAACTTGTTTGGTTCTAAACCAAATGCACACACAGATTAGTGATAATTCTGAAATTAGCAATAACAACTAAATGATTGATAACACCTATAATGATCAATAAGCCATTGATGTCTGGATAAAAATTCACTGTCTAACAGGCAGGACATATGCAGAAATTGGATAAAGTTATCAAACAGTCTGGGCTGCATAAATTATAAATTATATATAGACTACTACTTATTGAAGCTACACAAGTTCTTTAGTCAAGAGCAGTGAGTAATTTTCTCTGTTCCCTTTGTTCTTTCAGTAACTTTACTGACAGAACGCTTTATTGGTAGCTGGCCCTTTAAGAGCAGCCGCTGTGGACAGAGACGCGGATATCACACGCGCCTCACATTCTCTCACGAGTCACAACTCTTTATGTCCATCATAAGACTGTTCTTATGTTATGAAGATACTCGACAAATGACATTTTGGCTTAATTGTGTGTGTTGTTGATGTTCGTTCAAGCGCGAAAGAGAACTTCTGGCGCGCGGTCTGTGCATGCGCATTATACTGGCGCGCGTCTTTCTGTGAGTCACATTCAGGACATTCACAGGCAGCGCGAAAAAATGTGTTCGTTTCAAATCGGTAAAATTAAATCTGTAAAATAGACGTAACGAGTGGCACATAACGTGAAGTAACATGGCATTTTATTTTGATTGAAATTTAACTTGTCCGGTCGGACAACTAATTTTCTCTTCTACTTGTCCTACAAAAAATCCACTTGTCCCGGACAAGCGGACAAGCCTTAATGTCGAGCCCTGATGATGTTGACACATTTGGACCTTCATTGAACACACACACACACACACACGCTCGTGGTGGGTTTCCATGTTTTATGGGGACTTTCCATAGAAATAATGATTTTTTTATACTGTACAAACTGCATAGTTTATCCCCATACTCCTATACCTACCCATCACAGAAAACTTTTTGCATTTTTGTGTTCAAAAAGCATCACTTAGTATGATTTCTAAGCGATTTTCCTCGGGGGACCAACAAATGTTTGAGGAAACATGTGGTCCCCACAATGTAGGGTTTACCAGGACCAACGCATGCTTTTTCTTTATACGTTCACTTTTAGACTGCAAGTTCAAGTGTTTAAATTTTCGATAAAATGTAGTTTCATGTGCTTTCCCTAAAATGAACTGATCTAGATGAAACCCATGTATGGTTGAGGTTGTATGCATGGTTACTGGTAAACACATTTTAGGCCCAGAATTCAAATGTGAGATTTTAAGAACGCTGCATTTGTTGGATGGTTAATAGCCACTACTACGTCAGCATAATCGCTTAACCAAGATCAGAAGTAAAATTAAGACCTGCTTTTACCTCAGTGTATTGAAAGAGAACGAAGTCCTCGCATTCCCTTCATCCCACATCTCCGACTCCATCCTGCAGTAGTGAAAGACGACGGAGTGTGTCCTCTGTCCATCATATGATCTTCCTGAAACCTTCTGAAGTGCCGCCCGTTAAACCCAGCGCATTCTAGGAAATAAACTCTCAAAGCCTAAAACGAGAAGCTAAAGGATGATACTAGGACATTTCGGTTCATCTCACAATAGACGAGTTCTGTTTTTCATTTTTGATTTTGATTATAAATGACTCTGAGCTAAACAATTTAATTTTAAACAATGCAATTCTTGAATATTTTACTCATTGTGTGATGTTTTTAAAAAGCTTTTTATAGTAGATGCCTACATCAAGAAATAATCATTTTATTTGTTTGCTTATTTAATAGAATTAATGTGCTGTCTATGTTGGCATTGTAATACTGTACGTTGCACTTTTAAATCTTGAACCGAAGAGGTATATGACCACATGAACTGGAACATCTTCTAGTGATATATTGACTCTTTATTTAAATTGTATTCATTTTGAGCAAAAAAAAAAGTTATGTCCAATTTTGGTTGGACCAGTAAGATTTTGCATATAATTATCACTAATTTATTAATCTAATTAGATAGATAGATAGATAGATAGATAGATAGATAGATAGATAGATAGATAGATAGAAAGATAGAAAGATAGAAAGATGGATTGATGGATAGACCTTTACTAGGCTTCATTTTTGTTTCTTCTTTGGATTTTGGGGTGAATTATGGCTAGTTATTGACAGGCATTGTAATATTCGGCCATAAAAGGAGAAAAAGGTTGAATTTCAACTGTCTAAAGTGTCAAAAAAAACATCATAGATGAAATTATTAGGACTATTATTATGAAAGTGAAATTGTATATTTTACCAATTACATGTTGCGAAAGTATGACCTGATTTTTCAGCCTGGATCATTATGTCTGAAAGGTCAGTGTCAGTCGGGGTTGCCATAGAAATGCTGTCAGTTAGCGAAGCGCACAGGCCTGTGGTCCGGCCAACAGCGACGGCTCACTGAGCTAATACGACTATTTATGGCTTCCAGTCAAAGTCTACTTCACACACAAGCAGCTGTTGTGTTGCGGAAACCTCTGAAGACTGGACTCAGATCAAACTTCACTCTGATCGCTGTGTGTGTGTGTGTGTGTGTACTGTACACAGTAGGCAGGTTTACTGTATGCATGAAATATGCAGATGACCTACTACATTAGCTAAAGTGTGCAGTGTGCAACCAGAATACACGGCGTTGAATACTGTATCCCACAATGCAATGTGCTTGACCTGTGTGTTGAATCAATCCGAAGCAATATCAACCGTGATCTTTAAGCTCCTTCATTTATTATTTAGTTATTATTATTATTATTATTTTTACACAAAATTAAAACAATTAAACATGCATGAGGTCAGCAGTGTAGTATACTACTTTTTAAAATGTTTATCATGTTTAAATGTTTAAAATACTTTACTACTGTATATCTGTAAACTGACTACCATGCATACAGTATATACTATGCAATACGCATATTATATTATATTAATTTTATTATATAGTTTGTTTGTATATATATATATATATATATATATATATACACGTGTACACACACAGAGACACACACAGTAATATATTATATATATACACACACACACACACACACACACACACAGACACGCCCACTAATATATAATATAACATACACACACATATATATATATATATAAATGTACACATATACATTATATAAACACAAACCCTTATGTTAGATGCGACATTTTACATATAACATAATATAATATATAACATTTTACTCTAAATATTGGCCTGTTTTCACAGACAGGGCTTAGATTAAGCCAGGATTAGGCCTTCGTTCAATTTCTGGTGTTCATCTTGAGACAAAACAATGTCACTGACATATTTTAAGATGTCAGTGCAGGTCTCTTTCAGTTAAACCTGCTCAAACATGCAGTGTAGTCTGGGACTAGCTTAAGCCTTGTCTGTGAAACTGGGGGATGGTGTTATATTTATTGAAATGTAAGCATTATATTCTCAAGCACTGTGTGAAGTAAATAATGCAGATTCCAGAGGGGTTTTGCTGAATTAAAATGTTGTGAAGCCCTGTAGTAAGCAATACCCTAGTGTTCAGTGTCAAACCCCCCACTGTAAACACACCTTATCAGGCACTAATGCAGGTGTCGAATCTCAAGACGAGCGCAGACCCGCCGAATACAAACACTCTGCCCTCATATGACTGTGGGACATGCGCACTCCGCAGCTCACAGAGAATAAAGCCTTTCCAATGCATTAATGATCTTTTAATGACAGTTTAATGACCTAATTACATGCTTGTGTGTGTTTGTGTGTGTGTAGTTATCTGAAGGATATGGATAGGATAGGACGGGCAGACTACGTTCCCACGCAGCAGGACGTCTTGAGGACCAGAGTGAAGACCACTGGGATCGTGGAGACACATTTCACTTTTAAAGATCTGCACTTCAAGTGAGAAACACATTCAGTGCTGTGTGTCTGCATGTACACAAATCAATGAGCTATAAATAACACGTACCTTAGCTGATAGAGTTCAGCACGAATCTTGAGATGCATGTATATGTGTGTGTGTTTGTGCTGAAATGGCTTGAAAGGGTATTTATTTATATATATATATATATATATATATATATATATAAATCAATATTACATGCATGGGCAAAAATCAGTGGGAAAATAAGAGTTCTCGATGTGTAGAGGAGTTTATTATTGAATTGGGTAAAGTCGGCATGAAATGGAAGTTGCGATAGTGTTTTCTACCCTATTGTGACGTATATTTGAGTGAAAGGAGAAAAAATGAAAGGCGTAGTGAGGAATTGATTGGCTGGTTGTGGTTTGCTATTGGTGGATCTCATGTGAGTGACAGGTTGCCCCGCCCTCGTGTCAGTTAACACATCATCAGAGAAGAGAGATGAGCTGTTAGCAGTGTTAGGTGCAATGTGCCGTTATGAAGGAATTAATTACTGTAATTTAATTGCTTTTCCCTTGAAAAAGTAAAGTAAGGGATTACTCTTAATTTTTCTGTAATTGAATTAGTTCTGATGTAATTGGATTAATTACTGTATAAAACAATAGTGGATTTAACATCTAATGTTCAAATGTATGTTTTTCATCTAACCATCTCCCTTTGAATACTTTGGTCAGTTCAAGTATATCTTTGCACTTTTAATTCTTTCAAATAATTAAAATGGCATGTTGTGTGTCTATCCTTGTATTGTTTAACTGGTAGAGGTTGATATGAGATTTATAAGTAAGGCTTTCGAGAGTAATTTGTACAGTAATCTAATTACACTGTTGATGATATAAATAGTAGCTTATCTAACACTGTCTGCAAGAGGGAGGGGAAATATGTTGATTAAAGTTGATGAGGCACATGAAAAAATAATGATGCATGGATAAATCATTTATAATAAATTGTGCAATATTCCATACAAAACAAGAATTGTCAGTTTTGATTTCATGGTGACTTAACTATATATGAAAAGGTTTCTGGTAGAAAGTGTTTTCTCATTATCGTCCGCTTGTATTCGTTCTTCCGAGACCCTCATGAAATCTTAACCTTCCTCGGTTTCTCAGTGTCTCCAACATAAAACATTCTCCCGCTCTAATTCTCCTTTCTCTTCAGGATGTTTGATGTGGGAGGTCAGAGGTCGGAGAGGAAGAAATGGATCCATTGCTTTGAGGGAGTAACAGCCATAATCTTCTGTGTGGCTCTGAGCGCTTATGACCTGGTGCTCGCAGAGGATGAGGAGATGGTGAGACTCGGGAAAACCCCTATCCTGTGCTCAGAACCACTGCAAAAGTCATGGAAAAAAATCTCAATTGTCCAAACAATAAACCTGAATTGTGAATCTGCCATTATGTGATTAGTTTTGCAAACCTCTCCAAGCATTTTCACATTTGGTAACACTTTATTTTAAGGTGCTTGTAATAAGGAGTAATTAACAGTTAATAAGACACTTATAAGACCTTATAAGATGCATATAACCATTAACTACTTCATATAAGGGTTAATTAAAGCTCCAGGCCCTGAAGAGATCAGCGAAACTACTCCCTCTTGGGAAGGTCAATTTTTAAGGGACTGGGAGTTTGTGTTACCATTTATGTTTGTTCGGCTGTTCTAAAAGTGCAATGTATTGATACTTGAGAAATTTATTATTTAATTTATTTATTATCATTAGTTAATGCTTATATGCATCTTATATGTATCGTATAAGGTCTTATAAGTGTCTTATTAACTGTTAATTACTGCTTATTACAAGCACCTTAAAATAAAGTGTTACCTCACATTTTAATAAAAATGTTTGGACAAATTAAAAAATTGTCGAAAGCTGCACTTTTAGAGCACATCGACCATTTTATTATAAATTAAAATTGCACAGGACATTTGGCCAAAATCACAGAAAACACAAAGTATTTTTTAATGATCTTCATTAGTTACGTCACATTTTTAATTAATTAATTGTTTTATTTGATAAATTGTTACTAATGTTCTAAGTAGTTCTTAGTAAGGCTGATGTATTTTGTGTAATTCTAAACTAATTTATAAGCAACCCCCCAAGATCCTTGTCACTAGTATACAGACTGCATCTGTCCACGGGGCAAAGTGAGCCGCCAGCGCCCTCTGCTGTCGAGTTACTGCCCTCTCAAGAATCACACTCCTCTTTTTCAGAACCGCATGCATGAAAGCATGAAACTGTTCGACTCCATCTGCAACAACAAGTGGTTCACCGAGACCTCCATCATCCTCTTCCTCAACAAGAAGGATTTGTTTGAGGAGAAGATCACACGCAGTCCTCTCACCATCTGCTTTCCTGAATACCCAGGTCTTTGACTTTTTCTTTTTTTTTTTTACTGAAATATGAGGCTTGAACAGGAAAAGAACATTTATTTGACTTCACTTTGATTTAATTTGCCATGTGGAACGTGATTTAGCATGTGGTTATTTTTAAGTAAGTAAATGTTATAGGACGGACAAGTTCAAATCTGCTGACAATATTTTCTGTATCGGTTTCATACAGGAGCCAATAAATATGACGAGGCTGCCAGTTACATCCAGACCAAGTTTGAGGACCTCAACAAGAAAAAGGACACAAAGGAAATTTACACCCACTTTACCTGTGCTACTGACACTAAGAACGTGCAGTTTGTGTTTGACGCCGTCACTGATGTCATCATCAAAAACAACCTGAAGGACTGCGGCCTCTTTTAATGAAGGTGGCCAAGAGAATGACCAGGTTAATACACACACACACACACACACACACACACCATTCATGCATATAAAACAGACCTGTGTTCAGATATAGTTGCTCAAAAAGCATCTTATAATTGCAAACGTTCAAAAGTTGGGGTTTGGTAAGATTTAAAAAAAAAAAACATTTTTTGAAAGAAGGCTGACCAAGGCTGCATTTATTTGATCAAAAATACAGTATCAACTGCAAAATTTGTGATAGTATTATTAGAATTTGGGGTTTTCAAAGCCTCCCTTCAGACACAAAGTACACGATGTCGTCCCCCCCCCCCCCCCCCCCCCACACACACACACACACACACACACACACACACACACACACACACACACACACACACACACACACACACACAAACTCCAGACATAAACAATTTACTTACCACAGCAAACCTAGCTTAATACATGTAAAAAGTTTTTAAGCAATTATTAAATTAAACGATCAGTAATAAAATAAGAAAGAAGCAAATTACAATGAAAAGCAATAGGACAAATAAACACAAAAGAGCAAAGACACATGAAATAGTAAGAGTTTTTCAGGTGGATCTAGCCTAGTATTCAAGTATAAATACTAGTTTTATTAGGCTGCTGTCACTTAAACACCTAAAGCACAGATCTAATTTACACATCAGTTTTCTTTCCCTACTGTTTATGTTTGTTTAACAAGCGACTGTGTCAAAGGGATAGTTCACGCAAAAATGAAAAATCTGGCATCATTTACTCACCCTAAATTTGTTTTTCATTTTCATTCTCGCTTTGGGTGTGAGCACCGAATTTATTGCGCTTTTAATAACTTATCAAGCTCATTGCACCGCTGTACTGCTTCATTTTCTTTTCAAAATCTTTTGAAACATTATAAATGTCTTTACTGTCCCTTTTTGATCAATTTAATGCATCCTTGCTGAATAAAATGATCTCTTTCATACTGACCCCAAACTTTTTGAACGATAGTGTATTCCTCAATGTTGTAGCATTAGATTTTAAAATATCGAACTAAATTTCATTTATTTTAACGATGGCACAAGCACACTTTTCAAAGCATTTAACATGTTAGGTTTGAAATGATTTAAGTCACATAGTTAATGTGAGAAACTATTATTAACCTTGTTGATTTTGTTGTGATTTATTCCTCAGGAAAGTGTAAAGTGTTTGATGGAGCTGGTCAACGGGTTGCACACCACATGCTAGACTGCCTTCAGCTACCTATAAGAATCGTGTTTTGTTTTTGTTTTTTGATAACCTGAAAAAGACTTGTGAACCAGGAAAAGAGAAACTTCACAGAATTCCAGAACACCATCCTTCTTTCCAGAATCTTGAATTTTAAATTGGTTCTCAATGTGTAAATATTTAATTTTGCAGTTATTTTCTGCCAAAAAAAATAAACCAAGTGGAGAATCAGGATTATATTCTGATATTTGTTTCTATTGAGCTTTTGTTTTTTTTGAAGGGTTACCAATGGGGTGGGTGAGGACTTCTATTATGGATGTGCTAGTTTTATTCAACTCAATGGCAAAATGCTTCTTTTGTAAAGTTAATGTGAGCACAGAAAGGAAATGAGACATCTCTTTTGTAAACCTTTAGCACCGAATCTTCATCCCAGGCTCAACTGTATATTGTTGCATGATGACGGACCATATGAAATGGCTCGCTCTCTCTAAACCTCGACGTGACATTCCCTCAGCCACTGATATATCTGGACACTCTCTACTAGCTTGACTGTGACACTGTCCAAAATCGACTAACTTGTAAAATATTTATATCCGACCTCACATTTCTCCTTCCTGTTGCTGTACCATCCCTTTTTTTTTTCCTCGCGATGTCTGTGCCTTGTTTTCACTGTCTGTAGATCATAGGGCTGTTTTTATTCACGCTATCAAATGAAAAGTGTAAAAGTGTTGAGCACATTTTAAGAGCTAAATAAAACTTAGACTACAGTCTTTGGGTTAATATCTAAATGCCATAAAAGATTTCGTTGGAAATAAAAGTTATGTAAGATAGACCTGTGCTACTTTGTCTTTTATGTCTCTTATAACACTGTATGCAGTAAATGTGTTTTTGTTCAACTGCCAGGCAATGTTGCATGTATTTTATTTCATGCTATTTTTATTAATATTCATTATACACTTCTGCAGTTTCACTCCATCACCCCAAGGAGGCGCTAGAGGAACACTTAGTAAATAAATGAACTGACAATCCAGAAGTCTACTCTAAACTATTTCCTGAAAGCGTTTTGTGTTCTACATGCCAAACCATTTTAATAACAACAGCAAAAATGCAAGCCCCAAACTAAAATTGGGCAAATAAAAAAAGGAAATCGTTTGTTTTCTATTAGAACAAAATGTTTTGTACAATCTTACAGAAAGTACTCTGGTGGTACCATGGTACAGCGATGATGGTAATATCATGGTATTGAGTAAATTCCATATTTTTTGGGCATATTTTTGGACTTTGTCATTGGCTTCAGAGTCAAGCCCAGAGTCATAGTACTTAAGTACTTAAAAGAATTCCATGATAAGTTGTACATGTAAAAAAAAAATACACTGCCATTGATACTTTTTTGGTAGCGGTGTATGGTTTTCATTGATTACCTTACGTTTTTTTGTCATAAAATAAAAAAATTCCTATCATGTTATTTTATTTCATTATTTTATCTTGTTAATGTATACTTTATTACATAACAAAATAGTATTATCAGTAGAAGTAGTACGATTAATTGATCAAGTAATTATTTATAATGTATCGTTAATCATTAAGCTGTATCAATCAGTCTATCAGGTGTGAAGCGCTTGTTCTTCGCTCACATTTGGCTTTCTGATTGGATGTCAGCCTGACGCGTAGCGCTGATTGGCTGAGATTGTCCGGAGGAAACAGACGGCGCGCTCAAAAGCTCTCAGCTCTCATTCCAAACGCGCATTGACTGATGACACGCTGAAGCGGTTATAGCGTTCTGGACTACTTTACAAACCTGCCATATTTTTTGTGTACAGTTTGGTAAGTGTCTTAAACGCACTTAGGTCACATATAAACACTATTGTGCATTATTTAAAATACTTATGCCACATCTTTTCTTTTTGCAGAGGAAACAGGAAAATATATCAAAGAGAGGACTAACTCGGCAAACGGAAAAATAAACATGGTAAGTGTTTTGTTTTGCTTGCTTTGTTCTTGTTCATCTGGAGACGATATTATTGTCTAAAAAATATTATTGTAAAAAGCAGTCTGTACTCAAGCAAAGAAGAATAAGTGAATACTAAACTAAAATAAAACAAAACTATATGAACAAATTACAATTTATAAAGCTTTTGAATGTAGATCCCATATTAAGTTATGATTTTACAGTAGTCACAACCATAGTAGTACTGTATTTATTTTCTTGCTGTGAGCACTTCCACTAAAATGTCATTTTCAGAGCCTCAAAAGCTGTAAATAGTAGTCCGTTGAATATATTTGTTAATATGCTGTATTTTTCTATAGTTTTAACTCCAATATGAATGTGACGCATGCACTGGTGTATCTTGTGCCTCCCTCAGGCATTATAAATCTATATCTTGAACTGTAATCTGGGTTGTGAAATGAAATGTACATTTTCAGCAGCGATGGAGGTTAACCGCTACCCAACTCTATGCATTTTTCATGGCCTCTGGCAACCGCTGGCTTTCCAAGCACACACACATTTGCATCTTCGAGCCAAATGGCTAAGTTCTCACAGCTGTGATAACATCATCGAGTGGTCACTGGTCCTGTAGCTTAAACCAGTCTGAGGGCTGCAGAGCAGCTGAGTTTAAGAGCCGGTTCACATAGATGGCTGTGTTTTTCTGCCTTTCAAAAGCATTCCCAAAAAATTCCAAATGCTTAACGGCTACTGCAGAGCTGGAAGTGAAAGTAAAGTAAATCACTTGAGAGTAGGGGGCTGTTATCACTGGAAAACAGGGACTTTTTGCTTTATGAGAGAGGTGTGGACCCTGGATGGAATGAAATCTATTTGATAAGCCTGGTCAAGGGGAATTTTGTTGTTTTAAAGAATGAACAATGGATGTCTATCGCAAGACATTCTGGAGGGTTTAAAAGGATAAATGTTCCTCTATTTTTCATTTAGTTTTTTTTTTTATGTACATGTATTTTATAATCATATTTTATTCAGATTATTATTATTCAATTCATCATTTAGCAATGGCGCTGTTGTTCTAAGTAGGTGAGTATCTAATCATGTATTACTGATATAATTACCAATTATAAGTGCATTACTTATTTTTTATTTTTTTGGACGATCCCAAATAGACTGATATACACAATTAGTCTGATCCCGGATCTATGGCTAACATAATTCAGCATTGTCCCAAAAAATGACATCATTCCCTTTTCGACCACAACAACCCGTGCATTAATCATGAAACTTGAGTTGGGAGAAGTGTGGCCTGTCTTTCTCCCAGAAGCGGTGCAGGAAGGGACTCTTTCCCGTTCCCACAATCAGTGCGGATGTATCGGCATGCATCATATTCTGACTCTTCTCCCCAGAGACAATCCAAATGGATTGTGTTTGTTTCTCTCCCACTCATCATGTTGTTGATTTAATGCTGCTGGATTAAACTCTGGATTGCTTTCATCTGAAGGAGAGCTCAGGCACATTTATGTCTTGTTTGGCCTGGTCCAAGAATTGTTTTCCAAGGCGATTATAGATCCTGGACACATCAGTCTGGCAATGGATCTGCAGTTTTTATTCAGAAAAAGAGGAACTGACTCATCTTGCCCTTTAGCAAGTACTTTGGCGGTACCATGGTACAGTGCATGGTTGTTACTACATTGATACAGTGATGGACATGCCATGAAAAATGCATACAGCTGGTGATCAGTGTGGTGCATCTAGTGCCCTTGTGAGTGATGTGGAAACTTCAGCATGCAGTCAAGCTCTAACCTCTTCTTTTTCTTTCTCTAGCTGTGCGCTCGCAATTCAGGCGACTGTTTTCGGGACCAGATGCGATACATGATGAGGTCTCTGCAGGATCTGAAGCAGATACGAGAACCCGACAATCAATCAAAGTGCTCATACGCCACTCGAGCCTGTCAAAAGAGGGCACAAAAGCGGGAGCTACTCAGTCGCCTGCGGATATCTGACGTTAGTGACGCCAGCACCTACGACTCCGCCTGCTGCCTGGCCAGCCCACTGGAAGAAGAGGAGGATGAGGAGGCCGGTGTTGGCCGTCTGCCTCAGGGCTCCCCCAGCAGCTTGAAAAGTCTGGACTTTGATTCTGGGTACTCCGAAGCATCGTGGCAGGATGAGGGGGTAGTGTTGCGCCGCACGAGGAATGTACGCGTTTCATCTTCCGCGTGTGTCCGCACCAACCGAACCCGTCCCAAATCCACATCAGACGCATGCCTGGAGCGCTGGACGTCGTTCGAGGCCAGCGACCCAACGGACTGGACCACGTCTTTGTTAACTAGAGGGCGTAACAGGCAACCGCTGGTTCTTGGAGACAACAGCTTTGCAGATCTTATTAAAAACTGGATGGACCTTCCAGAATGCCCAGATTCTGCAGAACTGAAGCCGAACGCCAGCCGCAAAATAGCCAAGGACTTTCTGGTCAACATGCGGCGGAAAATTGCAGGCATGTCAAAGGGAGTTGGAGTTGAGGAGACTAAACGCAGTAAACGGATGTCTTGTCCTGTGGGATTCCAAGCCCCGAAACCCTTCTTTCACCAGTCCCACACAAGTTTGCACCAAATGGGACCAGACTTTTACCAGTTTAGAGCTGTCATGAAGACTGGGAGTCGACAGCCTATCATATGCAATGACATCATTGGATACATCTGATGTGTTTCTGAAAACTAACTGGATTTTATTTCTGAAAATGTCTTTTAATATTGTTCTATGTATTAATAAATATTGCAATAAATGTTTTTTTTATATAAAAGAGAATATTCTGACCTATTTTTATGAAAAACTGATGTCATGATCAAAAATACTTGATGGCATTGTGAAAAATTGAACAGCATAGTTTGGGTTATGTACGGGTAATATATTTCATTCAGCCCATTTTAAAGAAAAAATGTATGCCATTGTTGCTTTAGTTAATTGGTTGCAATAGAAATATAACACACCAATGTTTAACACATTTATTAGAATCCGAATAATTTTTTTTTTGCAAAGCAATAGTTTTTTGCCTTGTCAGTTAACCAACAATATTCATGTTTAGCTTGCCCAAGTTTAACGTTCTAAGTTTCATTTGGTTTGCAGCCATCGCATGAATGACAACTTTTCTCTGAGAAGTTTGCTACTCATGCAAATACAATTTATGGTTTCAACACAACACTGAATATCTCATACAGTATACTGTGCACTTATTACTCTTTATTTTTAAGAAACAGGCAGTAATTGAGTAAAATATGGAATTATTTTTAAAATAAGACTTTACTAACAGAATGGTATATAGATGCAGTAGGCTAAGAATTTATAAACTAAGACTTATAACCAGAATAGAATAGAAAGATAAAGATCCAGCTGTCAAATCTTTCTTGTGAATGAAACACAGTGCTGTAATGTGATTAGGTCTGAATGCACACAAACATGTTTAAAGGTGATGAAATTAACTGGAGCAGACGCAGCTCATTTGGCTCTGGTCTGGAGCTGTTTTCATACATGATAATAGTGAGGTGAGGGGTGGTGGGTGGTCATGGCTGCATAACAAAGGGATGAGGGAGGGAATTAAGAAACCACAGGGGTCGCATTCATCCCGGATACACCGTGTTTAAAAGAATTAACAGAAAAGCTATTTCACTTATAGACTGTAAAAGATCAGAATTAGAGACTCTTTCCAGTTCAAATGTGACACTGCAACATAGCCAACCGTAATCATTTTTTTATTTTGATTCTCGAGAAGATATTAAGGCTTTTTCAAAATCATTTTGGCAACACTTTACAGTAAGGTTTCATATGTTTGTTAAAATTGGTTAACTACAGTAGTCACCCAGCATCAGGATCAAGTGGATGGTTGGTTTATTTTTAATGGCATCCTGGACCTCGTCTGAGGATTATATGTTTGTTCAGATAATTTGACCAAAGATTGTTTTATAAACGAGGCACAGTGTATTGAAAAGTGCAAAGAAACTTTTGATGGCAGATGAAGCAGTCAGCTGTATTGGATCTGACAGTAGCTGAATCACAAACCATAAATAAATGACGGTTTTATATGGATAATGTTTTCGAAACACTTACTCGTGTGCAATAGAGAGTGGGTATTGAAACTGTTTCCATTTACTGACAAGCCTGAAAGGAGCTGTCCATTAAAACCTGATCATTTCAGACATAGGGGTCAGAATGTAGTTTTTCCACACAGTGCGTGCGTGTGTGTGTGTGTGTGTGTGTGTGTGTGTGTGTGTGCGCGCGCAAAAAACTTTAACATTATAAGTGAACCAACATTTTAAAATAATTTAAAAAATCCACATCATGATCCCTTTAATATTTTACTGATGTTAGAGACCTTATTGTAAAATGTTACCAGAATGTTATATAAGAGTCTTAAATATACATTTATTTTGTTTTGTTTTAAAGGCAATATTTTTTATTTGTTCTCAGGATTAACCTCATTAAATGCATCATGTTTTTTTTAACAGTGATTTTTGCAGTGTACATATTCCCATGATTTTTATGACTGTTTAGCATATAAACTCAAAGTTAATGGAGAGAATAATCTTATTAAGGTGAAGTTGCTACATGGAAGGCTCTCTTTTCCAGCTTCACCTGAGGAGGTATCTGATGGGCATCATGCAGTCCTCATCCTCTTTAAATGAGGGAATGATCTCCAACATCTGCTGGTGATCTGGAATCTCACGCTTGGTTGCAGAGCGTACCAAATCAGTTATGCTGCATAAATGATAAGTTAATCAATTAATACAAATCCATTTTCACTTGTTAGGCTAAATCAAAGTACCACCAAACCTTTTAAACCCGCATTACCATCAGTGTACTTCTTTACATAAGATACAGTTACATAAGAATGGCTGCTGTGAATGAATGTATGAGAGTGTTTATTTATGTGAGGGTGTGGTATGGTCTGTATCTCATAATTAGAGAGGAACAGGAAGGTCACTCTTATGCCTAACAAACACTGGTTATGTTCAGAATGAAGTACTAGCTTACTGCACATTTAACTATTAAAAAAAATAAAAATAATTAGAATAGTATAGAAGTACTGTATGTGAAATGCAACATACAATAACAGTTTCAAATGTCACATGACCTCTTCTACTTCATTCCTCACTTTAGAAATAGAAGTTCAAGTTGAGTGCACTGCATTGAGATCCGGTAAACAATGCAGTTTGCTCTGGTTGTATACTGCACATTTTGTCAAATGTAGTAGGTCATGCATATATTGAGTACATACAAAACATTTGCATATTGTGCACAATATGCACTGTCTGTCAAAAGTTTGGAATAATTAAGATTTTATTCATTTTTTGTTTTTAATCATCATATTAGAATGATTTCTGAAGGATCATGTGACACTGAAGACTGGAGTAATGATGCTGAAAATTCAGATTTGATCACATTTAATTACATTTTGACTGGTAGTCTACAACATGCTGTACATGCATACTTCCTTTCACATGCTTTTATATCATGCCAAACGTTTCAAAGAAATGTAGATGAAGAAACGTCAGGAAGGAACAGCACCTGACAGGGTAATAAATGTATTTGTTTTCTAATTTGGAGACTAATTTTGGTTAGAGACCCAGGAAGGACCTTGAAGTCTATCAACAGATTGAAGTTAGGTGCACACATGCAGAAAGAGGGGAGTGAGGGGTTAATGAAGGCATGTGGCTTCAAATGACTGTCATGCTGGAAGACTGTGTGTCCATGCCTTGGGAAAATATCCATTATCCCAAAAATAAACACTAAGGGACCAAAGTCTCAAAATCTCTTAGTCTAGACAAATCTAATGATATATAGCTGTAGAATTTAAGTGAATATAATGCAGGTAAGCATTCAATATAGTATACAAAAGATAAGGCATTAATGCTGTGTGGAGTATTTCTGTTTATAACAGCTGTATATCAGCATACACACCTTAGCTTCAGGCGACCAGTATGATCGGAGGAATCGCTGTACAATATAGCAGTACCATAATACAAGCCTGTGATGTTCAACTTATGCTTTTCCTGAAATGAGAAATAAGTATCAAATCAACCAATTCGACACACATCCAGCCACCCACACGTATCTCCCTAAGATGTGTATTCAATGTGTGTTTTCATCTAGAATGTATGATTTTTGGAGCATTTGTAACTGTATAATTGATTGATTTACGTCTAGTTGACCGTACCAAACTACCATTTTAAAAATTGGAGGTCAGTAATACTTTTATTCAGCAATGATGCATTAAACAGACTATTTATAATGCAGCTATTTATAATGTTACAAAAGATTTCAGTTACAAATAAATGCTGTTATATTTCAGAAAAAGCAGTTCTGGTGCCAGAGAAAAGATTTCAACCTGTAGAAAAAAAAGCTGGTGTGAGACTGAGTGTGAACGGTATCTGATGTCTCTAAAGTGTGTGATGTTGACAGCGTGTGTGCTTTAACCTTAATGTGTTTCAGCAGTTCCTCCAAGGTCATTTCCTTTTGACCCTCATGCCGGCCCTGCACCAGGAAGTCGTCCCAGAGAGAGTACCGCCGCCCCGCAACCTGCCGACAGACACGACACACCGGCTTAAGAAACATGAACACACATTTGTGCTCTCAGTTGCCCATGCATACTACATCTAGTTCATTAAGCTGAGTATGCATGCAGCTGATATAGATCTTGTAAACCCTGCTGACACATTTGCAGCTCATGTCTTGGACTCAAAAGGTCCACTTCAGGTCAGAGGTCATGCAGGACATGTGATACCAGAGATAGGGTAAGTAGAAGAAAACAGATAAACTGTATTATAATATTACAATATTTTGTCTGTTTTTATTGTAGATTGAAGGTTTGAATGTTTTGGTCTGTCCTCACTACAGAAGCTGTACTGACTTGCCTACAGAAAAGCTGCATCCCACATGAACTGACTTGCTTAAAAGGACTTAACAAATACATTACAGTAAATTCTGTGTCCATTTGCACAAAAATGGATTATTCTGTGCCATCTGGCATACTAATAAAAAATTCAAAGAGAACGCTCTACAAACTCATTTACAACCATTTTTACCCTGCTTATAAATTATGAATGATCAATTCAAAAACTTCTTTCATCCGTGCAAAAGGTTTGCCTGAGGTGCAGCGCGTGGAAATGTAAGGAGACGAGGTTTTATGACTGCCTTGGAAAGTGGAAGTGCAGTCCTGCTTAATAAAATAGGTCTGTGTCTTGACTTGATCTTGCTGACAGCATTTCAAACATAAGGCATGTGCAAGTATGTATAAACCTTCACCTAAAAATAAACTGCTCAAGTATAGCACTATATACAGTTCCCAAAGCCAAGCCTCAAATTCTGCAGGAGCAAATGCGCTTGCATGATTTTTATAGCTCTATACTTTGTGTATAAGGAGACACATACTTGAGAACTCCATTAAATCTCCACAGCTATGAAAGCTACAATTGAGCAGTAAAATTGTCCTCTGGGTTAGTTAGTTCATTTGACCTGAGACACAACACCTGTTTGCTGTAGACATGCTAATCTGCTATTTCACCTCCACTAGACTTGTACCGGTGTGTGAATTACTTGGACTTCATTTGTTTAAAAACGTTGTTCTTCCTGGGCTCATAATGTAAAGCAGATAAGCAAATCATTACTCCAGTCTTCAGTGTCACATGATCCTTCAGAAATCATTCTAATATGATGATTTGACTATTTGATGATTCTAATTATTATTATCAATGTTGAAAACAGTTGAGAAGCTTAATAATTTTGTGGAAACTGTTTT